GGAAATCTGTTGCCCAGATCTATAAATTGATTTTCCTATATACGTACACTAATATATTTATTTCTAGAAGATAAGGGTTTTTAAAACGCGTTTTCCCCCTTGTACGAGTCATATTCGCTCTGTATCGCTGGGTCCTTACACATGCCAGTAGTCTGTCTCATACTCCAGACTTTCCCTTTCTCCAATGCAACAGTCCAAAATGAAGTCAGTCTGGACTCCCTATTTTTCTGAATCTCCGAGCTCATTAAGGCTATGAACAGAGTATAAACAGAGACTTAAGATCATGGAAATCACATGCTCACAATCATGTAACACAATTTCAGCGAATGCCTGGTGTCATTATCAATTCATATCGATCATAAATCGTACAACCGAGTCTGTTTTCAGTAGAGACTTCTTGCAAGTGTTAAAAGAGTTTTGTCGATTATATTCTATATACATGTATCTATGAGACTTACTATATTTATAGGGGAGGTGGGGTAGCCTAGTGGTTAAAGCGTTCGCTCGTCACGCCGAAGACCCGGGTTCGATATCCCACATGGGCGCAATGTGTGAAGCCCATTTCTGGTGTCCCCCGCCGTGATATTGCCAAAACGGCGTAAAACTAAACTCACTCACACTATATTTATACAATACAGTCACGGTGGCCCAGTCACCTATGGCGCCAAAATACAGTGCAAACTTGTGTCCCTTAGGTGAGCCAGAAGTCGTGGGTTCGAATCCCGTTTCTGCATGTTTAAATTACTTTGTCATCACCATACACCAAAGTGAAACATGTCAGACTTGCACCAATTTGGGATTTCTACCAAAACTAAAATGATATAATTGAAATATTGTTCGAAGTATTAAATTCACAATACTCGCTGACTCTTGTAATACAGAATATACCATATCTAGGTATTGTAACCGAAAAGGTGAGTGAGTGAGTAGGCTTTTACGTCGCTTTTAGCAATATTCCAGCAATATCCATATCCAATATTCCTGCGGGTGGGCACCAGAAATGGATTTCACACATTGTACCCATGTGGAGAAGCGAACCGGGTCATCGGCATGACGAGCGGACGCTTTAACCACTAGGCTACCCCCCGCCCCATAACCGAAAATGAAACTCTGGAGATGTAAGGGAATTCCCCGTGGGCACATCTCAAGTTTGTTCACAACAGCTTAAGCAAACAAGAGTACATGGAGAATGAATTACGCTGACATGACATAAAAACGTCGTTTCTGCAAATATTGTCAGATGCTTGAACTCATATTGCGATTATGTTTATTGAGGGGTTGCGTTAACCGCCTAGGGTGAACTTGTAACATCTGTTGAAACAGATGAATAGCTTCCTTTGTAGTGATGACTGTTCCCGGCCTGCTAGATGATCATTTACTGAACGCCTCATTCATACAGTATGAAAGCGCAGAGAAGAAACGTAACCGCCCATTTGGGTGAAAGAATTTGATGCTTTGCGCTTGCTTTATAAGCTATACTTAAATGAAAAAGTTTGAAAGGTTTTTTTGGTCAAATTCTTTTTATTCATTTCAGTTCAGCAGGTGTACAGTTGATTACATTTATCATTGTTTTTCAGAGCATATACAATGAAGCGCTCATAAAATGGTGGACATGTCAGGAGTATAATTATGTCTGTAATACAGTGTGCAGGGGTTTCCATTTGGAATGAAATTTAGGCAAATTATCGTTCTTACATGCAATTATTCTTTCTACTTTGTACACATCCTTGACGATATTAGCAAAACAATCAATGGATAGTTCATTCTGTTTTATACTTGAAGTATGAATGTACTTTTTGGCCAACAGGATAATGTGTGTTGCTAGTAGTCTAGCTGAACTGTTGCGAAAGAGAATGTCTTGATCAGAAATGGGAACATCACAATGTGTAGGATTAATAAGGTTTTCAACTTTTCTCCAAAATTCCTGTACAAGATTACATTTTATTAACACATGTTGGAGGCGTCCTGGCTCAGATTGGCAAAAGGAGAAAATATTTGTTTCAATTATCTTCATTTGCACCAGCTCTTCTCTAGTATAAATGGCTCTGTTTATAAATCCATACTGAAAATCTAAAAGCTTTACATCCTTTGTGCATTTTGTGTGTTGTTTAAACACATTGTTCCATGAAATGTCTGTATTTAGTTCATTCTGCCATTTCTGACAAACTGTAGGTGGAGTGTCATTTTCTATAAGTTTGTCATAGAAAATTCTACATTCCTTCATTTGAGAAAGTAGGTCTTGAAGAGTTGAGTTTAGTGAGATATTTTACGGGATCAGATAAAAGAGTATTTTTCCAAAATTTGGGAATATTTAAAATAATTTTATTGTACTCTAAAATTAGATTTTTGATGCAGTAAAGCTTTCATTTCATTGAAAGATAAAAAACCCAGTTCCACCCCATATATCTCTTATTGTATGAATACCTCTGTTAAACCAACCTCCAGTCAAGACATTACTATTTCTAAATTGGTGATTCAACCACAAAGGTTCAGCCATGATTTCTTCTGGTTGACAAGTATTTATCTTATGTTGTTTATAATATTTACTCCAAATAGATAAAACATCATTCCAAAATGGGTTTATCAATCCTTGCATGACTGTGAATAAGTGCACCAAGAAGAAATATTTTGTTGAATGGAAATAAACTGGGATTGTGGGGTGACGTTTTATTTACATGCCTTCTGAGGCAAAGTTTGAAAGTTTGATAAACGCAGGTATCGGGCTGCTCTGAGGACTGTGTGAAAAAGACTCAACAAATAGTGTAGAAGGAAACCATTGTGTTTGCAACCAAATTAAATTATCCGTCTTTCACAGAAATAATAAAAATCGATGTTATGAATAGTGGTGGGTATTGCAGAGAATTTTCATATTGTGATATATTGCAGTTTGAAAGCATATATTGCTATTGCAATATATTGCAGGAAGTTGTTTTAACCAAAAAACTATTTATAATCGAATTAATGCTTGATTTATAAAGCAAAACACACCAAAACACTATGCTTGATTAAGCTTTAATAAAAACTTTTAATCATGACAAAGTAAAAATGTGAATAATATTTGGCACAAATGAAACAAGGAAAAGAACAATTTAACATCAACACAGTGGTTACTAGTTTCTCTACGCTCAAAAACATAAGCTCTGAGATTTTAGACAGCACCTTGACCTGGTCAGGACATATCAGAAATCACTGGTCATTAATGAGTAAATATTTAAAACATTCAGACCCAAAACATTACGAAAAACTTGAACAAAAATTAAGAACTCAACTTCAAACCGAACTTAACAATGCAGTTAAATATAAGTTTCACCACGATCATTCCCACCACCATTACCACAATCATCAACATCTTCATCACCACACCATGAAAAAACGGAAATATCCGAAGATTTCCGAGTCTTACGAAGTTTTCCGAATGCATGTCAAAATACCGGTTTTCGATCTACGTATCGCAACACGTATGTCTGAACCGGTAAATACCGGTAAACCGGTCATATTGCGCAGCCCTAGTTATGAACCAGTGACTGAAAATACACCTCTTATGTCCCTGTCTCTATCCTAATATTAATAGTGGTTCGCCATTGAGAATGGTAAGACAATGACCACGTCAGCTACATAAATTCACTACGTTGGTGAAATGTTAAGTGGGACCTGTATCAATTCGAAACCAGATTTACCCGTGAAGGTCCGGGTTCGAATTGGTCTTCAGTAACCCACGCTTGTCGTAAGAGGCGACTAACGGGATCGGGTGGTCAGGCTCGCTGACTTGGTTGACACATGTCATCGTATCCAAATTTCGTAGATCGATGTTCATGCTGTTGATCACTGGTTTGTCTGGTGCAGACTTGATTATTTACAGACAGCCGCCATACAGGTCGAACAGGTGAGACAAGAATGGATAAAGCAACTCTAAAAAGCGTCCAGATCCAGTCACACGTATCAGGCTCGATGAGATCTCCACTGAAGTCTTTCAGGTTCTCTGTAGTTATTGTGACCTCGGCTTGAGTTCTCTTCGATCTCAACATGTTAAAGGTTTGTGTTGTGTGTTCAAATACACTGAACATTATACATACAATTCTCTTCTCCTTATACTGTTTTAAATTCGGTTTCTTTTCTTTAGTTATATGTATTCATGTTAAGAAGACTAAATACATTTAGTTACTGTACGTAAATCTTACATCTGGAGCATCATCGCGTCACCACTCACAGTGTTAAGAGCGCTACAATACAGCATACAAATATATGAATACTTATCGTCGGGGCAAATGGTAACATATCCGGACACCGTATACTTAATAATATCTTGAAAATCTGTAATTTATATTTCTGGATCTTTTAAATACATAAATTTCATCACTTCAACTTGGACACCAATGACATAATGAAAGAAACATTGAGTGCGTGAGTGAATTTAGTTATACACCGCTGTTAGCAATATTCCAGCAATATCACGGCGGGGGACACCAGAAATGGGCTTCACACATTGTACCCATGTGGGGAATCGAACCCGGGTCTTCGTCGTGACGAGCGAACGCTTTAACCACTAGGCTACCCCCTCGCCCACTGAAACAAAGAACATCAGATGCTGCCATCATAACCTCCAGTGGCTGCCAGTAGGCTGTCGTTCACCAATTCGTACTCCAAAAGAATTTCGGATATTAAATTTGTCCATACATAAGAATTACAAAAAGGTATACGGACCTCTGTAAGCTTCAATAACACTTCGGCAATAGACATTAATGTCATATACGTACCTCTTGACCGCCACAGCGTTCACATTATACCTATGTGCCTGATACTGATACAGATCTCGACGGTTCTCCCGCAAGGTTAAAGCCAAATCATAAGCACTAAGTATGCACGTAATTGTATATAGTATGGCATTGCTTGCCACAATATTCAACCCTACGGGTGCTATTTCGTTGTGGAGACGTGAGCCGTTTGGATACTGTGATGGATACTGTTTTTGAATGCACATTTATTGAGTTTGAACTTTAAATATGGACAACTGGTTGTTCGTCTACCTTGTCTCTATCGTCATTGAGCCTATACTTTCAGGTAGGTAGATCCCAAGACCCACGAAGAGCCTTGGTTAGAATTGGTGTTCAGCAATTTTATAGTAAGAGAAGACGTGGCCAGTCTCCCTGCAATGGTTGATGCATGTCATCGTGTACCATTTACGTAGACCGATCCGGATTGTCTGGTCCAGAATCGATGAACAGTCAGTCGTAGTTTGAAGAATACGGAGTGCATCAACAATAAGTACAACCAAACAAAAATTGGTTTCAAATTGAATTTAGCGCTGTGAATTCCACATCTAGTCAAGCTATCTTTACATTGCAAAACACAGTATTGTTAAAACGTCCCGATAGATTCCCAAACTTGACGCATTCGGACCAGGTGGTTCATAAACAATATTCGTAGCGAACAGGGGTGATTTCTCTTAATTGATACCTATTTCTTGAACAATGTTAGATCTGGTTCGTTTGTGATAAAGGAAGAAAATATGAGATAACAACACCCAATTTGATAATGTGTCCCTTTGAATTACCCTCAGTTTTGTCCAACGGTTGCCTAATACCGATTACCGTTTTCATATGTGGTCTTAATCGTCACGCTACGATTCCTTCGCGTTCGCTCATGGATAATTACCTGTTTGTCTGCTTATGATTACAAATTTGTTTCAGATTTTTGAAAATCATGTTCTGTTAACAAAACAAAGTTATACTTTGCTTGTGACTTGGCAGTAATTACACCAGTTAACGGTTTGAGTGGAATGTCGTTGATGTACCAATGAAAAATGGATTGAGTACTTAGTGGGTGTATCAATGAAGATAGGATTAAGATGCCGGTGTGAGTAGGATTTAGATAATGTACCAATTAAAAGAGGATTGTGGCCTCGGTTTGAGTGGGATTTAGTTGATGTACCAATTATAATAGGATTGTGGCCTCGGTTTGAGTGGGTTTTAGTTAATGTACCGACCACTATAAGATTGAGGCCTCGGTTTGAGTGGGATTTAGTTGATGTACCAATTAAAATAGGATTGTGGCCTCGGTTTGAGTGGGATTTAGTTGATAATACCGATTACTATAGGATTGCGACCTCGGTTTGAGTAGGGTTTAGTTAATGTACCGATTAAAATAGGATTGTGGCCTCGGTTTGAGTAGGATTAAGTTGATGTACCCATTAAAATAGGATTGTGGCCTCGGTTTGAGTGGGATTTAGTTGATAATACTGATTGTGGCCCCGGATATGATTGTGGCCCTCGGTTTGAGTAGGATTTAGTTGATGTACCTGATTACTATATGATTGTGGCCTCTATATGATTGTGAGTTGGGGGATTTAGTTGATGCACCGATTACTATATGATTGTGGCCTCGGTTTGAGTGGGATTTAGTTGATGTACCGATTACTATATGATTGTGGCCTCGGTTTGAGTGGGATTTAGTTGATGTACCGATTAAAATAGGATTGTGGCCTCGGTTTGAGTAGGATTTAGTTGATGTACCGATTAAAATAGGATTGTGGCCTCGGTTTGAGTAGGATTTAGTTGATAATACCGATTACTATAGGATTGCGACCTCGGTTTGAGTAGGATTTAGTTGATGTACCGACTACTATAGGATTGTGGCCTCGGTTTGAGTGGGATTTAGTTGATGCACTGATTACTATAGGATTGTGGCCTCGGTTTGAGTGGGATTTAGTTGATGCACTGATTACTATATGATTGTGGCCTCGGTTTGAGTGGGATTTAGTTGATGCACTGATTACTATATGATTGTGGCCTCGGATTGAGTGGGATTTAGTTGATGCACTGATTACTATATGATTGTGGCCTCGGTTTGAGTGGGATTTAGTTGATGCACTGATTACTATATGATTGTGGCCTCGGATTGAGTGGGATTTAGTTGATGCACTGATTACTATATGATTGTGGCCTCGGTTTGAGCACTGATTACTATATGAATTTAGTTGATGCACTGATTACTATATGATTGTGGCCTCGGATTGAGTGGGATTTAGTTGATGCACTGATTACTATATGATTGTGGCCTCGGATTGAGTGGGATTTAGTTGATGCACTGATTACTATATGATTGTGGCCTCGGTTTGAGTGGGATTTAGTTGATGCACTGATTACTATATGATTGTAGCCTCGGTTTGAGTGGGATTTAGTTGATGCACTGATTACTATATGATTGTGGCCTCGGTCGATGCACTTGAGTGGGATTGGCCTCGTTGATTTAGCACTGATTACTATATGATTGTGACCCTCGGTTTTGAGTGGGATTTATTTGATGCACTGATTACTATATGATTGTGGCCTCGGATTGAGTGATTTAGTGGGATTTAGTTAATGCACTGATTACTATAGGATTGTGGCCTCGGTTTGAGTGGGATTTAGTTGATGTACAGATTTAGTGGAATTTTGTGGATGAGACAACACAGATAAACAGTTTAGAACTTAGGGGTTTCAACTCCTTCGTATTCCACGGGTTTATGTAGTACTAATGCTAATGTCCACCCTAGTCAAGTTGTCCTACCTTCGAGTTCAAACGACAGTTACAGACTGCCAATATTTTCTCCTTCCAGGTACCTACATCCAGGCTGAGACAGACTCACAACACAAGATCGTCGCCATGAATGAAAGGGGGTTGCCAATCACCGGCCAAAACTCACTGATTTTCCAGATCAAGGCGTGTTCTAATGCATATTTTGTTCTGTCTGAGAAGTACCGGTTTAGTAAACCAGACCAACGGTTCTTCCTAGTCATCTTGGGAGCGACGGCAACGTCCAGCGTGAACGGCATCCGAGACAGTTGTCTGAGAAGTTGCGACAAACCTTCAGCAAAGAAAGTAGGACAGTGGCTCCACTGCTCCACCTTCCGGACGTTCTGGCTAGCCTGGGATGAACACGGAGGTCTGGGTTTGGGAAGTGGCGCTGTGGCTCTACGGAACTCTCTCATGAAACTCAGATCACCACGTCCGTTCCCCCTCAACTTCCTCTTCCTCTGGGGACAGGGTAACAGAGTTGAATGGAGATTTCTTCTAAGTAAGGCCAGTTTTTGTTTTAAATCACAAGTTTGGTCCAGTTCATTTTCAAAACAATATTTAAAAAAAATGTTCCAATCCTTCTTCATGAAGAAAAACAGATATGAGGTAGAAATCGCACAGGTGCAGAAAACCATTTTAGAATGGCGATCGTTTTCAGGTAAGGAAAGGTGTTGTATAATATAAGATAAAGTATTCTAAGCTTCCTGAGCTTACTTATTAAGCTACATAGTTTTGCCAAACGAATTAATGACGGATATCCCCTTATTAAAAAACTGTCAGGAACTGTAACTGAGTGGAACATAAAGTAACGGTTGATTTCTGACGCTGCGTTTTGTTTTCCCCTCAGACAACGCTCCTCAGTTCGTGTTCCCGAGGCCATATGGTGGTTCAACAGTCGAGATTCCCGAAAACACAGATATAAAGAAGGTGCGTATGTCCCTAGATTTTAAATATTAGAAATAATAAAAACTATCTATATCATTGTGATACGGTCATATTATCCGGGCTCTTTCATGTACAGGGGTGACCAATAGGTCAACACCGCATAGTGTTTTAAGTTTGAAGAGCTGCACCAAAAATTAGCGCATTTATCTTTTAATTCTCAGTTTGTACTGCAGATGTGTCCATAATCAATTATATGGTCTCTCAGAATCATACACGAGAGTGTGGGTGCTTATGATTGCATCCGTGGCGCAGCTGACGAGTTTAAGCCGTGGTGTATTGATAGAGTATTGGAGCGCCAGTAACATGCATTGCAAGATTGATGCCTTCTAGAATCTGCCTTCAAAATGACGTATTATAAGGGTAATGCTATTTTTGAGGGCATTATCATTTGCAGAAGCCCCAGGTCTTCCATTAACTGCCCGACCAAAAGACCGAGATTATAGCTAAAATACATGGAATTATCATGAAACGGCCCTCCCATTATCAGAATTTTTTATATGTCATTTTAAACTGGTTCTGTTAACTGCAGCATAGTCTCATTTCATCAGATTGTTTATTGAAATTCCATGCATTCTGACTTTTTGTTTTGCGAAAGTCTATTGCCGTCATGTTTCTCCGCTGATGCGTTAGTGACAGCGGTTAGCAAATCTGTCAATATTCTATCGAAAGCAACCTCCAATTCAAAACAATTTCCAATAAGTTCATCAATATTTTCTTTTGCAATGACAGAATTTTCAAAAGACCGATTTCGAACATTGACAAATTCCGAAATCTTACTTTGAGATGATGTTTAAGAAAACGAATGCACACGATTTCTGTGAGGCCATCTCTGTTGATAAACAGTGTATGTCCAGACTTTCTAATAAGACGAGCGATTTCATTGGATGATATTTTCAGAAGAACTAATCAAAGTGAGTGTTACAAACACAACTAGCTGCGTTTGCGCGGTTGTTTCTCTTTGTAGTTCATGAAGTGTACAGTTAACCAAAGCTAACTAACAGTTAACTAACCAAAGCGTTTCTGTAATCCCCTTTGCGTATTTGGGACGATACAGATATATTTCTTTGCGTATTTTGGAAATTTCAATGCGTATTTTACGCATATACGCAGCTTATCTAGACTTCTGGCCCAGACCTTTTAAACAATAACTAAACCAAATCTGTTCTGTGAAGTCACTTGCTCACTCACTCACTCACTTTGCCATCTGATACTCTTCAGAATCTGACTTGAACATGATGCATGTTTTATCAGACCCCGATTTTTCGAAACAAACTTAAGTTTTTACTCAAATTTCAAACTGACAATTTGAACCAGCTGAATTTTTAACTCAACTGCATTTTTGCAATAAAGAAGCCCAAACATATTACGAAATCTATCCCCCAAACTCAAATTGTCTACAAAATATGAGTTTAATATCGATTTCAGTTCATTCTGGGAAATACATTTACAAACTCAAAACTCAAACTTAAGTAAAAAACTCAGACTTGAGTTTGTTTCGAGAAATCGGGGCCTGATGTATTCTGATTTATTGTTATGTAGGTGATACTCGATCTGAAGGCCACCGACCAGGACAAGGACATGTTAAAGTTTTCTGTTGTTGGGGAACACTCGTACACATTCAAGTGCGCAGGCTCGAGCCTCGTTCTGATGAATCCAGTGGATTACGAAGAGCAGTCACTGTACAACGTGCAAATAAGGCAAGTAATTAATTGTTTTGTAATGACGCCATGTTGTATTTGCATATCTAAATGACTTTTCTTTGTAATTTTATTATATATTTCTGAGATAAAATCAATTTTGATGTCTATTTCAGAGCGTTTGATGGGTCGTACGCATCGGTCACTCATCTCACTGTCATAGTTACTGATGTCAATGACAATGCCCCGGAAGTTGATAGAATTGACCCTATAGAGATACCGGAGCAACTACCGGAAGGCTCTGTCATTGGTGCAATAACATCGGCACGTGATGTGGACACCAATGACAAGATCACGTTTTCTCTAGAAGGTAACCATTAAAATATAAAGACGTTTAACTTGAAATAGTGACAGGCAACATTGTACATATCTTTATCAAACATTCCTAGCTGTTCAAAACTTTTTTTTTAGACAGTTAGACATTGAGTGAATATTGTTTTACAACGCAGTCATCAACTACAAGGCTTTATTACTACAAAAATAATCGGTCTCAACCACATAAACCCGTGACTTGAACCAAGGGCAACTGCCCACGACCTAGAGACACGATGTTCGACTGTCCTGTCCAAGTGGGCCACCTCTTCGGTTACTAGGTTACTAGGGAATAATTTATCTTTGAACCCCCAAGAGATTGCCATTAACACAATTGAGATAGAACTGTAAGACACTTGATTGCTTTTGCCACATTAAAAAGGTGTGTCAAGAAGTGAACTGGACGACAGAGAGAAATAAATGAGTGGTTTTACGCCGCTTTTAGCAATATTTCAGCAGTATCATGGCGGGGGATATCAGAAATGGGTTTCACACATTGTACCCATGTGCGGAATTGAACCGGGATCTTCGACGTGACGAGCCAACGCTTTAACCACTAGGCAACCCCATCGGCTCGAGAAAAATGAAATCGTTCCATTTTGATTTAGTGGTGTTAATATACTTCTTGAAAAGGGGACACATTTAGCCCAAAAGTGCAGAGTTGCGTCCCTTGTGCATGCCAAGTGTTCGAATCCTGGTGAACCCGAGTAAATCTCTGAGTATGTTCGCATCATGCGCGTGATCGTCGACTTCACTCAGGTGGAAAGCATGTGAGCCCCGGACATACTTGCATTAACCGATATTAGCTCTACGGTGATCGTAGACCAGTGTTAAGGTATGTGAGTTAAGATGGCTTTAGGACTAAGATCGCTTTGTGAAACTGGTCCGTCTGTTACTTCGGGATTTATACCCACATTAAGACGATACGCTATGATGATACTGGAAGACTGTTTCAAAGCGATTGAGACCGAACTAAAACATTCGCTTGTAAACAAAACATGTTTACAGAACATGTTTAAGCAATTAGGTCGAAAGCGATAAATGCTACCATTAAATAAGCAACGGCATATATGAAAACAGTTTATCCTCCATCAGGTTTGAATTCGGAGTTCATTTTGTCCGCAGAAAGAGATTCGTCATACTTTTCTGTCGACCCAAATACTGGCCTCCTGTACATAAGAAGGACAGTGGATCTCGAAGCGATGTCAGTGACGTCATACATTGCCAACATGACGCTAATAGTGACAGACGTGGTGGGTCACTCTACGTCCACGGCTGTCATCGTCATCGTCAATGACATCAACGACAACCCACCTGCATTTCTCCAGGACGAGTACCACATTAACATCAGCGAGACGAGCAGTGGAGGTACGTGTACGTTATTGTTTCTAATCTCCAGGGGGCAGCTGGGGTAGCCTAGTGGTTTATACGGTTTTGCAAGTGTATAATTCTGAAATCTTTAAAATATTTTTTGATAAACCACAATAGATTGGTATCTGTTCAGTTTCAAAGATATGTCCAATATTTCTTCAAACCCTAATTTTATCCACTGCCTACACAGCGTGTTGAAAGACACTAGATTAGATTTGAACCCTTACGGTGACTCTGCTGTGTTTAATTATCTGATGATCAAAACGCAGAAGCATTTCATTTTATTTTGGGAGCCATCAAATGTGTTTTCAAAGTGTTTTCAGTATAATTACTATGGAACATTGAACACTATGTGTATCCTGGACCTTTCCGAATTACCAGGAACTATTCGTAAAACAGGCCAACAACATATACTCTTAAAATAGTGGGGGAACTTCATTTTTCATTTACGATTGAAAAAATTAGGAGATATATCGAGTCAGTCAATATTGATATAATAATGAATGTTTTGAGAGTGCATCACCACCTGCACTTCCTTATGACCAAAGTTGTCTGTACAGTAACCGCTCTTGAGAGTTGATTGGTGTATGAAATTTGCATGTGTACGATTTTTGTTTAAAAAATAAAAAATATTAAAACCCGGGTAGACCCACACTAACAACTGTGTGATGCAAGATGATTGTCAAAATTAATGGTCCTCGGTGATTTATCGACCCTCTTGAAAACAATCAAAATCAAAATCAAGAATGGCACCCCATGCACGTGTATTGGGCTACTGCGTTGTGCACGTGCATTCCATACGTTGATTTTAGGGGGTGGTGATAAAGAGAAATGGGGGTGCATTCATAAGATCTCTGTCTTTGAAAATTTTGTTAACGCTTATACTTCCTATACTTCCAAATTGAAAGTTCAGGTACCCCTATATACTCGAGCTCGCTGTTGTAGGTACTATTTACCACTATGCATTTCCTTTCTCATACTGAATGAAATATTTATATCTATGCTTATTTTGTAATCTGAATCAACCTTCCCATTTTGCCGGTTCACTTAAAAAAATATATGGAACCAACTTATTTGCACAGACGTCGAGTTGATAACCTTCACCTTGTATGACCCCGACGTTGACCCTGACGCTAACATCAGCCTGTCCCTCCGCGACGTCAGTGACGTATTCTACCTGCAGGACAGAACGCTGGTGTGTGCTACCGACCGGCTGAAGTATGATAACCAGCCCCAATACACGCTGAAGGTGGAGGCAAGGGACAAGGAGAAGATGGGGAGACAGAACACGGCGACAGTGACGGTCGTTGTTGAAGTAGGTGTACGTTGACGTTTACTTGTATGTATTTGTAAGGGCGGTGGGGTAGCCTAGTGGGGAAAACGTGGTGAAGACACAGGGTCGATTCTCCACATAGATAAAATGTGCGAAGCCCATTTCAGGTGTGCCCCGCCGTGACATTGCTGGAATTGCTAAAAGCGGCGTAAAACTAAACTCAGTCACTCACTGATCCGACCGATTATTGAAACTGTTTTTTTTGTTGGCGCTTACTCTATATATTCTATAAAAAAACACAGGGCCGCGGCCGTTGACGGTCACGGACTTCTGGCGGAAGATGTGGCACTCTTCGTTTCGGGGTTTCTTGTTTAACGACTGTCTGTTGCAAAGCCTGGACCGGACAATCTGGTGATTCATAGTTTGACCCAGTCTATGTTACAGTAGTATGCTATTATCCAAGTCAGCGAACCTTTCCAATGACTCACCTCTTACAAACATCATATGTTACTGGGGACCAGTTATGATCTTGAAACCACTGGCGCGTGATGTATGTCAATTATACGATCCACGAAAAAATCAGTACACTGTTTTAGCTTTATTCCGCCTTTATCAGTGTTCGGAACAATTAATGATTTTACAGTGTACCACCATGGGAACTGAATAGCTGTAGAGCGTGAAACGTCACCGTGAAGTTTAAACTTCTTATATAGAGTAATGATGAATACGAATACACAATGCCATTTCGAAAGTGGTCATATATTTGGGATTTCACTTTCTCAGTAAAGTTTGATTCTAGTATCTAGTACTCCTGTTGGGTTGAGTCCCATCCGGGATTCGAACCCACATTCGATTCATTCATCTAATCGCCAACACACTAAGTCTGCCGTCTAACCCACTCAGCCAGCGCGGTTTCCACAGCAACCGAGACTTTGGTTCACATTGGTTGTGACGATTCCATCCATAGTGAACCGAAACGTGAACCAAGTACCGATACGAAAGAATACAAGAGTATAGGCTCCCAAACCTCTGTCAATACATGATTTACATTTTCATAGATCAACCCTTTCTTTACATGTTTGTGTTCGCTGGTCATGCAGGAAGACCTAGCTTCAACTGCAAAGACCAGATTTGGTGTTCATGTCCTTGGTATTCCTAGGATTCATTTGGTGTGATGATGTCGATTCTGAACAGTTTATATGATATAAATTTATATTCTTTCATTGATTTTTCTTGAATCTTTTTTATATTCTGTACTAGCAGATGTAATGAGACTTGAATACATTCAAGCTCGCAGTTAGTTATCCAGGTTGAAAAATACTTGTATTTTCTGGAGGTGTTGCCGGTTGTGAAACGCGCTCTCGCCTGGATGACTGGAGCCAATGGCAGACTACCTCGAGTGACCTTGTCCAGGAGAGTTCCACCCGGATCAGCAGTGACCGTCTTGATCGCAAGTCAGTCATGCTCGGGGACAGATGGACACGTCTTCTACAGAATTCTGTCGGTCAAAGATGGTAGCTGACTTTTGGTTTGCCTCTTTTAGATTAATTCATTTTTTATAAGATATTGTTTAAATAAATGGATGTTAAGGTAATATAAATTTAAGACACTTAGAATTGGTCTTCAGCAACCCATGCTTGTCGTAAAAGGCGATTACCGGGATCGGGTGGTCAGGCTCGCTGACTTAGCTGACGCTTGGTTGACAAATGTCATCATGTCCTATTTGTGTAGATGAAAGTACATGTACATGCTGTTGATCACTGGATTGTTTGGTCCAGATTCGATTATTTACAGACCGCCGCTATATAGCGTGAATACAGAAGTGTGCGGCGTTCATCAACAAACAAACAAATATGATCCGGTTCACCAGCGCGTCGATGCATTTGTACATTTACATGTTGGTGTCTGTCTGTTTGTCGTTTAACTCGCGAATTCCAGTACTCCATCTCAAGGACAGAGGTCTTTGAATCGAGTCAGGACCAGACAGTCCAGTGTTTACATCATGATTATCGACGTAACTGGGGTACGATTACATACATGTGTCAACCAAATCAGCGGGCCTGACCACCCGATCCCGTTAGCCACGCCGTACGACAAGCATGGGTTGCTGAAGAACAATTCTAACCCGGATCTTTATCTGGGATTTATATTAATGTGTACATTGTGAAAAGTCGCTAACCTTACCTGTTGCAGAGAAAGAACGCCAGGTGGCTGGAGCATACACCATTGATGCCAAGACCGGGCAAGTCACGACAACTGAATCATTCAACAAAAATGTCGCTGTGTACAACTGCCTCCACGTCCAGGCGTACGACCTGCATCAACCTGACCGATTCATTGACGGCTGGGTCAGTGTCGACGTGCACGCCGTCACTGATGATCCTCGTGACGACCTGGTAGGAGCGGAGTCGTGCAAGACACAGACCGAGCTCCTTCTTCTTCAGAGCATGGTCGGAATACTATCCTTCTGTCTGCTTGTATCTAGCTGCGTCATCGTATGCAAGAGGAAGTCACCAATTAAAGTTTACCCGATAAAGTAAGTCGCCAAATATTTTTCCATTTTTGTGACAGTGACGCTGGTGATGGGGAGGGAACCAGTCGCGTCTGTATGTGCAGAGTTATGTCCCTTGCTATCAATGACAATCGGCTGAATATTTCCGTATATTAGTAAATGTCTACAACATGGCTACTTGTGGCTATATGTCACACTCCGGCACAGCGATGACCAACATAACATCACTGCCACAGGCTAATTTGCATATCACGTGACCGGACTTTTCTCTTGTTTGTAAACAAACGCGCATATTCATAATAAGAAGAGATTGGACTCACGAAAGCTTTTCGGCGCTCTCTTCATAATGTTTTACATTGTTACATATATATTCTTCCACAACTGCGACAGTAAGGTCTATGACAGTACATATTTAGATATCAAACTGGCCGCATCGTTTGCTCTCCATCAGCTTCGATGACAGCACGTGGAGCCGTACAACCTATGTAAACAAAGAATCGCTACGCAAATCGAAATAGTGTTACATGTTTTTGGATATTTTCTCAGTGAAACTAAACCATTCTATTAAAGATGTTTAGTTTGATGTGTAGACTCGTCAAAAATAAAGGAGTAAAAGAAATCTGTATATTATATTGAATGGATATTGCAAGATGTGACGAATCGTCACATTTTTCTGGCCTGTGGCAGAGGTACTTTGCTGGCTTGCCGCATGGAACTCTGGGTGGGAGAGTGGCTATATGTAGCAATTTATTACTCGCCCGTGGAAGATACAGCAGTGTAATAGTATGACGTCATAATGGTTACAGTTATGACGTCACAATGCTAATACCTCTGTCACAATGGTATTAGACCCTGCTTGACACGCAGAAAGCTGAGAGAGTAATAACCAGGGCCTAGATTTTCGAAGCTCTCTTAGACCTAAGATAGTCGTAAGTTAATGTTAATGTATGGCACTTACGACCATCTTAGCGCTAAGAGAGCTTCGAAAATCTAGGCCCATGATACTGAACTCGCTTCCGTGAAATACTATTTTTATTTAAACTCGTGAAAGATTTAGTATAAAAGTCGCTTTCTCTCGTTTGATACCAAATCATTATCTAGTTTAATAAAAATGGTATTACACGGAAGCGAGTGAGTGAGTGAGTGAGTTTAGTTTTACGCCGCACTCAGCAATATTCCAGCTATATGGCGGCGGTCTGTAAATAATCGAATCTGGACCAGACAATCCAGTGATCAACAGCATGAGCATCGATCTGCACAATTGGGAACCGATGACATGTGTCAACCAAGTCAGCGAAACTGACCACCCGATCCCGTTAGTCGCCTCTTACGACAAGATAGTCGCCTTTTTATGACAAGCACATGGGTTGCTGAAGACCTATTCTACCCCGGATCTTCACGGGTCTACACGGAAGCGAGTTTAGTATTCTGTACACGAAATAAACATTATACTTTATGGTATGAGTATGGTTTTACGCCGCTTTTAGAAATATTCCAGCAATATCACGGCGGGGGACACCAGAAATGGGCTTCACACATTGTACCGATGTGGGGACTCGAACCCGGGCCTACGGCGTCACGGGCGAACTAGGCTAACCCCACCGTCCCCTGTGGCACGAGAACGCACCCATGCGGTCATAGAATCCACAAATATTTAGTACGATGCAAGAATTTAGTTGACCAACCTTTGGATATTGTGAGGGATGCCTAAAAATAGAAATAGTAACGTATAAGTACAACATTGTCAGAGTAGCAAAGGAATATTTCCCCACAATAGTCTGTGTCATTGCCAGAAAGCGATACATTTTTCGGACTTACATGAGAAAATGCAACAGGGAAAATGTTCAGCATTAGAACCCGTGAGGTCCGGGGTAGAATAGGTCTTCAGCAACCCATGCTTGCCACAAAAGGCGACTATGCTTGTCGTAAGTGGCGACTAACGGGATCGGGTGGTCTGGCTCGCTGACTTGGTTGACACATGTCATCGGTTCCCAATTGTGTAGATCGATGCTCATGCTGTTGATCACTGGATTGTCTGGTCCAGACTCGATTATTTACAAACCGCCGCCATATAGCTGGAATATTGCTGGATGCGGTGTAAAACTAAACTCACTCACTCACTCACTTCAGCATTAGACAAGCAGACTGACAGGATTTATTCAGTATAAAGGCCATATACCCATGAGTCCATAATTAGTTGCATGAATTGCTTATGTAGGTGAAGTAATCGATTGGGTTTCTGGTTCCCAGGATCATAGAATGAAATAACCGTCTAGGTCTGGGTGGTGTGTTGGGTCTGTTGGTAGTGAGATTCAGCAACCTTTCTTCGTGGCATTTGTTTCAATAACCCATTCATATCATTCTGGGGCGGTGGGGTAACCTAGTGGTTGAAGTATAACCCGCTGTGATATTGCTTGAATATTACTAAAAGCGGCGTAAAACTGAACTCACTCACTCTTTAAATTTTCTCGCTATATTTCCTGTTTCGCCGAATTGAGGTGAGGTGAGGTGAGGTGAAATTGGGTTTAACGTCGTGCTTGGGAATATTTCGCTCATATGACGACGTGCATGCGTATGTATGTGTATGTGCGACTGCTTGTACTAGCCCAGACTTAAGCTGGTTTTAGTGCTAGCTCACTGAGATACCATGCCGCAGTGAAGCATGAATACCCCACTCAGACACATTATACTGACTCCGAGCCGACCAGTCCTTGTTGTACCCATTAATGCCGAGCGCCAGGCAGGGACCAACAAGTACTATATTTTAACGTCTTTTGGTATGACGCGGTCGGGGATCGATACGCCGAATTGAAATCGAGTTTGATGAATCTCGGGCTTCGATTGTTTTCTATATTACTTTACCTATTTGTTGAAACTCTCTACAACAGCTATACTCTTTCTCTTTAATACAGCATATCAACATATTCTTAACATGTATTTCAGTTTGGAATGCCGAACTTGCACGCCTATTCAGCAGACACCACCATTAGGAACAATGGCAGGGTGTTAGATTTCACCTGTCAATCAAGGCAACAAAGTGAGGACTTGGTTGATGTGATTCCTTACCTCCAGCAAGACGTACATTTGGAACTATATACCGATTTACAACAGAGAAGGTCCGTGTGTCTTTGTTAACGTTTGTGAAAAGACTTGTAGCTATTTCACAACATACCTGTTGGATATCACAAAGAAAAACAACTTCACCTTGTATTAATGAAAAACTATTATTTCATACCATTTCACAATTGTAAATTCTTTTTAACTGGACGGTCATACAGCTTGACTTAGTGTGGTTCATAAAGTTTTGCAATGTAATCGAATGTTAAAAATATATGTTTTGCGTAATGCTATACGAATGCCTAATTTATACTTTATTACTGTGCCTAAGGAATATCACTGTGGTTGAATATCCAGGTAAAAGTATTTTATGGCCTACAAATACGTGCATATACAATTAATAAATAAATTATAAATAACGTGCAAGTTATTCCGTTTCATTAATTTGCCACAAGGTAATATTTTGCGTTAATGTTTGCATAGACCGAACTACTGATGGACTTCCGATGTACTTGATGTATTTCTTGATTGGTCCATAACAGAATGGACGGCTTGCATTGTTGTCTACTGTTCTTTTTGTGCTAATAATTAAACGAGTAGTCTGTTATTATTATTGATTCACTCATTCGACTTAATAAAGTGGGTTTTTTTGGCATTTAATTCGTTATAAACGTAAGAACCGGTGTGTAGTGTTTCCCCTAGGATTCAGAAAGGGCAGGGTAACTTCAAAGAAAAAGGCACTTCATAATCTAAAAGGGCATTTTGGTGAGGATTATTGAAATCCACACTGTGTTACTACTATTTTATCGACATTCATACGTCCATAAACGCAATAGTTTTTTTGAGTCAGTTCTAAAACTCCCACTTGATCTGATGATAAAAAGTACCTTAAAGAAAAGAACATTATAAATCTATTGCTGAGATAAAGAAAACGTGTTTGTGTAGCAATCAAGAATGCACTAAGAATGCATGTAAGCATGTGTATGAGCTATTCATTTTTTAGAACCATAACTTTCTCTGAACAAATTGTCAATTAAAAAGCACATTTGACGCGTTCGTCCGTCCCCTGTCATATTGACACACCCATCTGTTGGACAACCCCCCGGGGAGTGACCTGTACCTGAGATCACGTGACCATCTGGAGTAGGACAGTACGTACCTGTTTATGAAGTGTGACCTCACGCCCGTTCATTCACAACGACGTAACACCTTTGGCACGATTCAAATATAATCACTACTTTAAAACTAGAGATGAACATTTCGCTTTCAGTGCACGATAAATTGTCCTTTCAACCGATTGAAAGAAGGTAACATTATTACCATTTAAGCATTATTATTATCCCGGATAATCCAAGCTGCCTGTTAGGCGCTAGAAGGTTAATTGTCTCACGACTTATTTCTCGACGTGTACCTATTTCGACTTACAAAACCTTATGATACAGCCGGAACTGTACATTGAACTTTTAGCTGACATTGTTAACGATTCTGGAATAGTTTTGTGGCTTCTACTTTTCGTTTGGTTTAATGAAATGAAACACATTTGTAATATCTTAACAAATCTTGAAAACTTTCTTCAGTCGTTGTACATGTTTCGTCAGTGGTATATTAAACCGACGCTAATCAGAAACTGCTTACCTTCATAAAATTCTTTATTTATCAGTCTGGTTGTCACTGAAGGTATTGCTGAGTGCGGCGTAAAACTAAACTCACTCACTCACTGAAGAAGAATAAATACTATTTTAATTTTTTGCGTGTCACATAGCGTATGATACATACAGAAATAACTCGTCAATATTAATATATCAAACAAAGTTCTTTGAGATACACCTAACGTTTTGAACAAAAGGTTAGAACATACGAGTTAATTATGAACACAACATTGCACAACGTTTTTGGTGATTTTACAACATTAGCTTGGTGACTGAAATGAGGAGGCTCGGTGATTGATTAATTGTGACATTGCTCATAATA